ATCTGTGTGCCTCCCCTTCCGCGTTCGTTGTTTGTGTGCCATGTAGTTGGGCTGCTTTGCTGGCGTTGCCTTGTGCTCACTGCGCAGCCGCTGTGCTGCTCATCTGCTTGCTGTGTCATTCCTTGCAGTTGCTTTGACGTTGTGCAGTCGTGTTGCCTCGGCATTGCCAGGTGCTTTGTTGAGTTAATGCCTGCTGCTAGGTTCCGCTTGGGAGAGTCTGCCTTCAGCATGGGTCAAAGGGTTCATGACCCAAACCATCAATACAGAGATTCCGCAGATCGTAAAGGATACAGGCTTCTGACGACTCACTGATAAAAAAAATTAACGACCAGTCCTGCCGCTAGGGCAAGGTGAGAAGAGTATGCCCCCCCCTTTGCGTCCATCCTGGATGCTCCAGTCTTTGGCTTTGCCTTTCGTTACTTCTATTCTTGTATTTCTTGTGGTTGCTGCTTTCGTCTTGTTGTTTGGCTTGCCGTTGTCGAGGGGTGTTGTGGTGGTATGGTGCATGGTTTTGTGCCATGCAGAGGTTAACGCAGATGTGCCTATGCACATCTCCACACACTCCTGCGCACATCTCAACATACAAACCAGTTGAAGGGGAGCTGTCAAGAACAAATGAAAGGGGTAAAAAAAGCAAAAGTGAACATAGTAGAAAGGAATTTCAATGGACTTATTGTGCTCCACGTTCCTCGCTACAGAGAGACAACTGTTTCGACTAATCTGCAACAGGGCTCAGCTGCTTCGATTTTAGATCCACTCATTGGGTGGATTAAGGGCTGTTGTGATGAAAATTCAAAACACACACACCAGTCTCCCGATCCAGAAGAATCGCCGAAGAAGACGGAAAAACACGAGAGAAAAAGCCAACGAGGGTGAAGCACAAGGGCAAGGAAATGACTCAGTCTGAGAGATGTGACACAGTGCCCCTTCAGAGCTAAATTCTACAATCACTGTGCCTTCCTTCCAGTCCGGAGTAGAAAAGCTAGTTACCTAAAGACTCAAGAGATCACATGCCATTGACCTAGACTCAAGAGATCACATGCCATTGGCCTAGACTAAGTATGTTTTTCTTCTTTTTCACCTCTAGTGCCTCTCCTCGTCTTTTGTACCATTGGCCTAGACTAAGTACGTTTTTCTTCTTTTTCACCTCTAGTGCCTCTCCTCGTCTTTTGTATGATCTTATTCACTATCTTTTCTTTTGCTGCATTCTTCTACTCCATCTCTTCGAAATGCCTTCTTGGTCTGCCTCTAGGCCCTCTTCTCCCACTTTTTATGACTTCTCCTCCACACAACTTGACACAAGGCATAACCATACCTCTATTTTTTGCCCTCTGATAATGACTGTCCTTCTCTGAATATAGTCATACATTCATAATGGCAATGCGATTGAATGCATTATGTACACTGTCAGAGGAAGATGTCAACCCCAACCTTGTCTCTTCGTACAATCACTAGCAATGCTCTCAATTATTCACTTCTCCGCTCTAAACCAATTGTATGCATCTTTGATTTGTCAGCTTCACTTCTCTCAAAACTCCTCTCGGGTCCGTCTTTTTCTGGGCGAAACTGTCCATAACAATCTTTTTCTTTCTGTTTTCAGGCTCTTGTTGTTTTGTTGTTCTTGATGTATTTGGAAAACACTCAGATACTGAGGACACTTGCTATCCAAGGAGAGCGGGGGGCGGGGGAGGGGGGGGACCACCAGAGTTTTAGGTGTTGGTCCCAACTACCACTGCCTGGGAGGCTTTCAAAACCCCTACTGACCCTCTACAGGTTCCAAGGACAAGTCATGTCTTGGAGCAGGTGCAGCCACCCAGTACGGGATAACGTCCAGCTGGCATGTGTAGGCTGCATTTTCCCGTACTGGGTGGCTGCACCTGCTCCAAGACACAACTCGTCCTTCTAACCCGTAGAGGGTCAGTAGGGGTATTGAAAGCCTCACAGGCAGTCATAGTTGGGACCAACACCTGAAACTCCGGTGTGCCCCCACCGCCCCCCTCCTTAGGACAGCACAGGTGCCCCGTGCAGGTGACCCCCGACTACTTCCGAATGCACAGCCCGACGGGCCGAGTAGCTAATGTTCAATAAAATATAAAATGTCCATTTTTGCGGAGTGACTGTTGTTCACAAATATTACTAGCAATAACTCCCACATAGCCTTCTGAGTCAGCATTTTTCAAAGATAATGTTTCTAACCCTTCATTCACGTTGTCATTCTTTTTGATACTTAAATTTCTTAAAACCCACCTGTTCCAGACTACCCTTGTTGTTCACAAATATTACTAGCAATAACTCGCACATAGCCTTCTGAGTCAGCATTTTTCAAAGATAATCTTTATAACCCTTCGTTCACGTTGTCATTCTTTTTGGTACTTCAATTTCTGAAAACCCACCTGTTCCAGACTACCCTTCCCTGCAATCCGTTTCACAACGTTCTCCACCATTTCCTCAGGCCTGCCACAGTACACCGGTTTCCCAACGACTTTTGTCTTACTTCTCTTACCCTCGTAATTTATGTCAGTCTTTGGACTTCTCATCTCTTCCTTAGGCTTATTGATGAACCACCAGTACCTTTCACATATATCGGCCACAGGCCCACAGGAACAAATAAGCGTAGCAGGGCTGGTTCATGATGTAAGTAAGAAAGATAGCGGCCTGGTATGTACTAATGACGGAGACCAGGACTGCTTAAACAAAAACTAGGGGTCTGGCTAAAGACCGTGGTGAGGAAGAAAAGGATGATCGCTGCAAAAGACTCACTAAATGACAGAGGCTAGGGTGCCTCCAACAGAAAAGGGTTTACCTATGGGACTTGTAGTAGAATGCTTACGCCTAGCGCACAAACCCGTACGACAGGGGTCATGCTTCATTCATGGCTGAGGGGGAAGGTGAGGACCCGCTTAGACCTGATGCCTCTACCACTGCCCGGGTCACTCCCATTGGATGATAGGAGGGTGAGTATCCTGGGTGGTGACAGTAAAGAGAGAAAAGGGTGGAAGGAAATCTCATGGAGCACAAGGCAACACCAACAACGCAGGCATCCTACACAGCACATAAGCAAAAGATGGGCAGCAAGGCAGCAGAGGAGCTAAGCACAAGGCAACACTGACAACACATCCACACCACAGTGTACACACAGCAGCTTCAGAACGATATGTGAGGCTTCATGGGCAGCAAGGCAGCAGCACAGGCGAGGCAGTCTGCCCATCCAACGAGGAGCAAAGCGGCACATCACCTACCGACGTCACGAGTGAACCCCACAGACAGTTCGTTCCCACCAAACGCTGAGCCAGGGAGTCAAAGAAAAATCAATCATCTCCTACATGGGGTCCCTAAGAGCGCTACAAGCACTCCAGACCGACTAATTGGCACTGCTTAAAGGTGCTCAGTCATAAATATGGCATGCAAGAAGAGAGAAGCTCAATATGGAAGTACACAGGAAGACAGACAATGTAACGCAGGAAGAACGCCACACAAAAATAGATATGACATACTACAAACTGATAGTGTGTCCGTGTGTGTGTGTGTGCGTGTTTGTGACATGTGTGTGGTATCCGGGAGAGTAATTAGACACTGCTGTTCCTCCATAGGCATAGTGTAAGTAGATGCCACGGCACCTCCAGAGTCAGTCTTTGCATTAGCCGGCACCTACTGGGAAAATGCTAATCCTTCATATTCACCGACGAACGTGCCCTACTCCCAGGCCACAGCAGACTACCGGCAATTGTGAGAGGTTGCAGAAATAGAGATCTTTCAAAAAAATCTCTCTCTCTCTCTCTCTCTCTCTCTCTCTCTCTCTCTCTCTCTCTCTCTCTCTCTCTC